TCTTTCCTGCCTATGCAGGGGGTCGGACTCGATGATCTATTGAGGTCCCTTCCGACCCTAACATCTATGAATCTATGAAAACCATGGGCACAGGCAGGCAGTGGAAGTAGGAGGGAGAGGGAGCCTGAAGACTTCACAGCTGGAGAGATGGTGGAACAGCACCTTCACTGGGAGCCTGGAAGCCACAGGTTAACCCCTTGGAGGCCATGTGCAACCTGGGGATCGCCAGCTGGGAAGTCAGACTAGAGAACAGAGGGCAGCCATGATGCTTTTGTGGTACCCTTTGCTGCTGAAGAGACACTTGGGGTAGCCTGTGTAACAACCTAGTCAAGTTAGAGTTTCTTATCGATTACTAGCTTTATGACCTGCTATAATGAATTACTGTTATCCAGAAAGGAGGTGAAAAAGGCCTTACTGGGACCAGGTCATCATCTGCCAAAATATGAGCTCAATTAGAAATGGTAGAAAGTATTATTTAGAGATGTTACTGAGAGTAATTTTTTTTGAGTGGGGAATCCAGGTGCTTTGGACTGAACCAACCACTTGTAGGCATGTGCCTTCAACCAAGGAGAATGCACTCTGACTGTAAACTCTTCAATGTAAAACAAAAAACTTCTCTCTCTTTCATATTCACTCCATTCTTCTTTATCTTTGAGCTAATCTCAGCTAGGCAATGAGCTACTGTGGTGGTGACTGTACAGTAAAGGATCAGAAGAATTATGTGCTGTCTGAATACTGCTGGTACATGAGTTCATGTTGCATTACCAGCCACTTCCTGCCTGGCTGTAGGTGTCAATTAACATTAAAAAGTGATTTTTGTGAGACACAAGTAAAAGGTCCAATGATGAAGATGCAGTTTCTTCTCACTATTCGGTGGGTACATTCTTTTTAGGATTAAAGCCTTTTTAGTGCATTACCCTGGATGTTTGCTACATCTCTCAGGTGAGATAATAATATCTTACGCTCAGCAGTGTGGAATGCCATGTAGAGGTCAAAGAAGATTAGAATGGATGTCTGACTTCTACCTACTGAGAGTGATAGATAATTTTAGTATCTACTGACTCTGACAATGTCCATTTAAAAATTAATGCAATACAATGACTGTGTCTCCATAATTTACCATTGGACACTACTCCAAAAATATCCTAAACTGCTAATTCAGCAAAATCAGAGCAATCTACAGAGATAGCTAGATTTTCCTGAAGATTTTATGGAAGATAGGCCAGAATTTTTTTTTCTTTTTTTTCTTCAGCGGAGCCTGCCTGCATGGGCTGCCTCCAGGCTGCCTGCATGGGCTGCCTCCACTGCCCCTGAGCTACATGGGGCTCGGTGCTTCCCCCTGTGGCTGTTGCACTTTGTTAGGTACAAAACTAGAACACCTTGGAGGTGTTTTATTTTGCTACATCCCAAAGTCATTTAACAGGCAATATGCTGCTGACTGTGTAAACAGCAGCGTCATTAAAGCGCAATACACCACTGACAATGTAAATAGCAATACCATTAAAGTAGTGCAAAGGGCATTTAAGCCACTTTAAAAGCCAATTTTGTGTTGTTCAGAAAGGCCCTGAGCGTCCAGAGTCTGGAACAAACTCCCTCCAGAGGTGGTACAGTAACCTACCCTGAAGATCTTCAAACGATGAGTGGACGCACACCTTGCTGTGGTCATCTGACCCCAGCAGGTCTTTCTTGCAGGGGGGCTGGACCTGATGATCTTGTGAGGTCCCTTTCAGCCCCTAACTTCTATGAATCTATGACTCTGACAGGTTTCCTAAAAGCTCAACCACTTAGCTTCTTGGTAGCCAGATGTTTAAACTGCTCCACAGTACGGACCATGAGACTTCTAGAGCAGTGGTTCTCAACAGCAGCAGCCCAAGGTGCCTTGAGGTCCTTTCAAGAGTGCTGCAGGGTGCCATGCAATGTTAGCACTGTTAGGTGTGCAAACATGATTCACAAGATAAACCCATAGATTTCAAAAAGGAATTCATAGCAGTAAAAACATATCTGACCTGTTGTGGTCTAAGTTCTTTGCAATAGAAGAACTGCTGTATTATTTTTCTGTTGTCAAAAAAGGAGTGAAAAGTAAGAATTAGCATTTTCTGAGAGGTGCCTCAAGTCTAATGACTCAGCTTGAACAAGGGGTGCCTTGAGTCTGAAAAGGTTGAGAACCACTGCTCTACATTGTGCTATGGCTCTAAAGAAGCATTGGAGATGAGGCATCATCACCTTTCATGAAAGGTTTTAGAATGTCTAGTTTTCATTCCTAATCAGGTTAGAACCAGATTTTGTAATAGTGAAATCCTCTGTGAAAGAGGATTGCTTTTCTTCACCCAGCTCTAATGGGGAGTGTGACTTTAGGATGCTACTGAAGTCTGCATGCCACGATTCCACAATTCTGTACTTACATTATGTAGAGTTTTGGTGATTTCCCATCCATGTTTTGTTGCCAGGACTGTTAGTGTTGCCACATTGCTGTAACTCAAATATGCCTGAAATGTAAGATTTATTCATGAAAATTAAGGAGAAATATAAAAAAAGAACATTATTTCTTGAATATGCAGTAATGCATATGTAAGTTACCCCTGCATCACAGAACAGATCAATGTGCAGTTTCCCTTAAGTGGTCTTTTTCCAGAAAACACAGTCCAGTAGTTTCTGAATTAAATACTTTTAATAGCTAGATTATGTGTTCACATGGCTGATGGCAAAAAGAACCCTAATTAAAAAAACAAGAATTTGGGCAGCTTTGATGGATAAAAGAGCAAAAAATCTGTTATCACCAGTGAGACAATACAGCTCACCTACAAGGCTACTAAATTAATGATCTAGTCCATTTTCCTTAAAGTAATTAAAATCTGATAGCAAATTAACCTTTTCACTGCTGTCAATCTGTACAAATATCTTGCTTAAAGGGAAGCTGCAATCAGAGTAGTGAATGTGTGGGTACACTATTACTTATGTTACACTACAAAAGATGGGGCGTTACCAATAACTATCAAACAGAACCGGTAGCTCAAAATCTTAAAAAATATATTTCAATTTTAAATTTAACATATTTGAGTCATTCATTTTTTAAGATCCTGTGTGTTATTATATTTACTTTCCTACAGAAAAATGTAAGGAACTGAAACTCTCTGATGGTGATAGTGTCTAGAGCTGCTATTTCTATAATAAATAATTCCCCAAATTATAAATCTCCAATTATTTTTCATTTGCTTTTAGATATAATTAAAGGACCCAAAACAACCTCTAGGAGCCAAGAAAGAAAATCTAAGTACAAAACATTTCACAATAAAACATCACCGAAGATTCACATACATCCACAAAATCATGTAGATTTGGGGCTAATAATATTGCTAATCCCTACTAATTCATGCAACCATGCATGGTATTGCTATAAGTGCTCATACATTTACCTACACTTCCAAGATTACCTTTTAACTTGGCTGGCTGTGCCTTGATATTGTGACAATGGCTCAAACCAGATGTTTAGCACTGTTATGATATACCCAAAACATCCAAATACATCCTCTGATTGCATATGTGAATGACTTGAGATATAAATGGTACCTGATTGCTCCTATCCCAGGGATCAGAAGGTTCATCGTTTTTGCCAGAGAGGATGAATTTTCTGAAATGTATATTAAATATACATATTAAAAGGTCAAACTGGTGGCATTCTCTGGTTTTCGGCATTTCTTTCAGTGTAACATAACAGCAGTGTCTTGTGCAGTACCAAGCATCTTCTAAATGCTTTGCAATTATTAAGCAGACAAGGTTCCTTGGGTGAATTTGATATCTTTTATTAGACCAACCCAAATGGTTGGAGAATAGTTATTAAGCAAGCTTTCGGGTTCAAAAACCCTTCGTCAGGCTCAGGAAGCTGCAGCAGTTGGTGTGTGCTCTTCCTGGATGGAATGAAAAGTAAACAAGCCAGGGGCTGGGCTGGGGAGTCAGTTGCCAGGCAGGTTGTAATGTATCAAAAATCCAATGTCTATGTTTAGTCCCTGATCTCTAGTATCCAGCAGGTTGATGAAATGGAGCTCATAGGCTCGTCTCTGGGATGAGTTGTGTAAATTTCCCTTGAGGATCAGGACTGAGAGATTGGAGAGAGAGTGGCCCTCCTGTGAGAAATGTGCCCCCACCGCTAATTGGGTGTTTCTGTCTTTGATGGATTTCCGGTGTGCATTCCTTCTGGTGCGCAGTTGTTGTCTGGTCTCTCCTACATATCTTCCATCAGGGCATTTGGTGCATTGGATGAGGTATACTACATTCCTGAGCCTGACGAAGGGTTTTTGAACCCGAAAGCTTGCTTAATAACTATTCTCCAACCATTTGGGTTGGTCTAATAAAAGATATCAAATTCACCCAAGGAACCTTGTCTGCCTATATCCTTAGACCAACACGGCTACAACCTAAACCCTTGCAATTATTAACTAATTAATCCTCATACAACCCTATGAGGGGAAGTAGGGGAAACAAAACACACACAAAAGGGCCAAATATTTCCTGCCTTGCTGAGTTAAGTAGTTTCCACTGCTTTCAGGGTGACAGGGCAAATAGGAAAAAAATAAGATGATAATAGCCATTGCATCTGAGCAGACATAAAACAATTAGGAAATTTCAGAGTATACATCAAGACAAAAAGTTTACTGTGTCATGCTATCAATGACAATTATGAAAACTAAGTTATCTTTGAAGTTGTTTTATACCTTGCTAGTCGAATTCTCCTGCGTGCAATAGCTCCATGGTATCTCCTCAAATCGTCCTTCAGAAGAAGCAAAGCAAATAGAAGTAAATTGGATTAAAATGATGATAATTCTACTTCAATAATTTTGTTTTGTAATAGAGGACAAAATATTATTTATTATAACAGACAATCAATATCAGGTCCCAGGTGTAAGATCATAAAATCATAGGAAAGTAGGGCTGGAAGGGACCTCGCAAAGTCATCTAGTTCAGCTCCCTGCTCAAGGCAGGATCGAAGACAGTAAATTAAAAAAGAGCATGTTAAAAAGAATTACTGCATTTCCTAGTCAATTTGGTCAGTGATTTTTTTAACTTGGCAGCATGCCTTTAAAAATAATCTAAGTATTCCTAAGTATGGAAGGTCCTGATCAACTTGTGCTAGCATGAGCATGTTATGTCAGGAGTAGCAGAGTGGTACAATGCCAAAAATGTCATTTTCTGGATAAAGTATTAATCCAAGACACCTTCTACCCAGAGCTCAAAATTGGAAGAAGAATGTGAGGGATTCTTATGCTGCTTTAACACATGTCTGGAACGGAGGGTGGGGAGAACACAGTAAAAAATCAGTAGTAAGAAACAAAAGACCGGGTCAGATACCCCCATAACCTATTCTTCCATTACTTTGTTTCTTTACTGTTTCACTTAAGGTGGAATTTTTAAAAGAATCTAAATGACTCAAAATGAAAAATCCCTCTGAATGGAACAACTGCTCTTGCATGACTCAGGCCAAGTCTACATGGCAAACATCATCCCTTGCACCAGTGCCCAGCAGCAGGGGAGTTGCATCCCCATGGTGTTTCAGGCGGGTTGTTTAGAAACACTGAGTGATACTGCTGAATACTGCTGAGTTCATCTGACTCCTTTGTTTGCTTATCAATAGGAAACCTAGTTTTTTCTGTTTAAAAAATCACAAATTCTCTGATAAAAATCACTAATTTTCTGATTTAAACCCCCAAATCTGCGATTAAAATGAAATACTGCTATATATAGGTATCAATTGATACCTATACACAATGTTTTATTGATATACAGTATTTAAAATTTTAAAGACATTTGGAAGCCTACCAATGTCTCAGTCACTATAATAAAATAAATTCTAAGTACCTATAAATTCTGGTATTTAATTTTGGATTGTTTTATCACAGAAAGTCAGAGCTCCCCCTGTCCCCTTTGCTTACAGAGAATGCAGGTCCAGGCCCCTCCCTCCCAAGCCACAGCCCCCCAGCCCTGCTGGTGCCCCTCACTCCCTACCCACAGCACCTCCCCACCCCCCAGACAAGGTGCCCCCTGCCTGCTTGGCAGCAGAGAGGGGCACAGCTCTGTGCCATCACCCCCTTTGCTGCTAGGCAGGCAGGGGGCTATTTGACAGGGTGGTATAGGACTCACAGTGGCAAGGAGCTTCCCCACCTGGCCCAACTCTGCTCTGCCATGCCAGGTCTTGCCCGCTGGACCGTGTAGGCCCTGGAGGAGGGCAGCAGGATAGGGAGCCTGAGCCTGCAGCAGGCAGCCCTCACCCACCATGTACGCAGATCTGGGGGGGCACCTGTGCCCCCCTGCCTCCTGGGAGTGCATGCAGAAGTGGGGAGCCAGCTCCCCGAATACCCGCAGACGAGCCACCTGCAGCCCCATCTCACTCTCCACTGGGGCCCTGCAGCTACACATGGCCCTGGGCCCCAAGCCCCATGCACCATCCAGGCTGGGCAGCAGCTCCAGCCCCAGCCCAAGTCACTCCTCCATCCCTATGGGGCCTCAGTCTCCCCTACGCCTCCCTGCCAGACTTACCTGAGTGCAATATGGGCAAGTGAGCCAGGCAGAGGAAGTGCATGGCCCTGGGGCTGGATCTCAGTGTGCAGGGCCAAGAAAGGGTGGCACATGGGGGTGGCATGGGGCCTGATGTGGCCTGCGGATTATATTCATGTGGCACTAAGTGACCTATTTTAAGGATGCCACATACTTGGCTAGGATTGTCAAAGGAGAAGGGACTTAGGCAGCCAATCCCCATTGAAATGTAATAGTAGTTGAGGGTCTGAGGCTAGAACTTTCTTTTACAAATCACTGCCTTTCATCTTGCCTATGGTGTCAGTAATGATCCATATGTTTTACCTTACCAGGGTTTTTCAAGTTCAGATCATCCTCCTGAGGAGAGGCAGTTCTGTTTATAACTTTGCTTAGTCCTTTGCTTGTCCCTTACTGACTGACTATGGCAGCTTGCATTAAATTCAGTATTTCTGTTGACCATACAAGCCATCTATATAGTCATTCTATTACAAAGGAAAAAATCTGACCTCTGTAGTGGGTTTGACCTGGGGGAAGGTGAGGAGTTCTCCTTTTTCATTTACAGCATTAAAAATGAGAAAAGCACTGTTAATATGTCGGGCTTGGCCCTTTGTCCATTCCTCACAGTTGTAGGCCTCAACACGAACACCAACCTCAACCCTGAAAGAAGAGTTGAATTGACATGAATTACTTACGTACCATAGAATGACACAGAAGCAAGAATGAGACAAACATACCGAACAGGACAGTTATAAACTACTCAGGCATAGAAAAGAGCAAATTAATGTTTTGACTGTATGTTGTAGAAATAACTGTCTGGACATAGAGGCAAATCTTAGCAGTGATGTAAATGGTGTAAGATGTATGTTAGGTTTAGAATGGGCAGAAGGTCAGCTGGACTAGCAAAGCACTGAAGGTGCTTAAATACACACTAAGCAGCAAAGGATTGTCACAACCACAACCCATTTGCTAAGGTTCAGAAAAGGGGAAGTGATGTAGGAGTCAGTGCAGTAGCCTTAAGTTACTGAGAGATTTCCTTAGCATGAAAGGATCCTCAGGAGGCAGAATCCAGTGGTGTTATTCTATTCTGTGCCAGGGGACTGGTTCAAAGCAGACCAGTTGAACTTCAGAATCAGGCCCTTCCATGTACCAAGTAAGTGTATGTACCAAGTACCAAGTAAGTACAGTATTTTGCCACTTAAGGCCTACATCTATTTTACACTCCCATTTACACTACTACTACTAACAATGGAAGAGACTCCACTGGAAGTGGCTTAGCAGCAGATGTGTTGCATATCCCTGCTTCAAAACTAAGTTTTGCAAACATAAACCAACCATACAGGCCTCGATCCTCCACCAACTTCATGCAGGTAGACCTGTGCCATTCTGTGGAGATCCCATTGGATTTCTCAGTATCCCACTGGTGACTAAGGGTAGCTGACCCCACCAGTAAAGGTTATGAATGATCCTTCAGCTTTCTATAGAGAAAACAGTTATATAAATCTATAACTATTTTTCTCTTCACTGAGAAAAGCAGAGGGATATTATAAAAAAGACTTCTTCATTAAACATATGGCATTGCAATCTGAAAACACCCATTATAGCTAAGGTCTGAAATGCTCAGGGAGGCTTGTGCTGCAGAAGGGAAGTATGATGAGCATATGGATATTTTTACCTTTTCTGAAATGTATTGTTAACTACTGCTTTGAAGACAAGACGATCACCAACAGTGGAGGGCCCCCGAAATTTAAACATGTCAACTGACTTCAAGATGGGATATGAACGGCAGAGGCGGCTAGATAAGAAAGGAGGAGGAATGCGAAAGAGAATAAATTGTCTTGTAATTCTTCCTTCTATATTAGTACAGCAGTGAATTATTTATAATACTTACAGTAATGAGGTCTGCACAAGATAGGAGTTCATAGTGTAAACCTAATTTAATCCATAATCCACTGCAATACATGTTAATATGTTCAGCTATATGACAGCATGGAATTTGGGTCTCAAAAATAATAGGACCATTATATTCTGCTGCTTCATTTTCAAAGCACTTTACAAATGTTAAATAATTAATCCTCACTACTCATAATTATCTTCATTTGGAAGAAGATTGAGCCCTTTACTCTTTC